TTTTCTCTCTCTCTCTCTCTCTCTCTCTCTCTCTCTCTCTCTCTCTCTCAACCTATGCCTCTTCCTCCTCCTCAAGTTGTAAGGACGTTTTTCTTCAGGAATGATGAAGTGACTATACTTCAATAATCCTTTACTTCTTTTTTATTATATGAATATTTCCTTGTCATATATTTCTTCTAAACATGTCTTTAATATTGTGGTTCTCAAACATTTGATCTCAGAAAACTTTTATATTCCTACAAATTATACAGGGCCTTAAACAATTTTTGTTTGCATCAATATTTATCTATTGATAGTTACTATATTAGAAATAAAATGGACAACTTGGAAATATTTATCCACCTAAAATAATCAGGGTACATCTACTACATATTAGCATAAACATATTCATAGAGGAAACAGTTTTTTTCAAAACAATACAGGACTGGGTAAGAAGAATTGGCACTTGCATTTTTGCAATTCTCTTTTAAGTCTGGCTTAATAGAAGACAGCTGCTCTGCATTTAGCCTATTGTAAGATGAGTGTCTCTGGAAAACTCAGCCATACAACTGATTAGGGCATGCAAGTGCAAAGGCAAATATGATCCCAGGGTTAGTATGAGACTAGCTTTTCATCTTGTTGACGGTTAAAAGCTGCATTTTAACACACATCATAGTTATATTGTCCATATTAAATTAAAACTGAACCACAGGGTCACACCCCTGGACAAGAAACTACTGGCCTCCAGGCAACTATGATTGATGAGAGAGGGATGGTTAGCCTATCCTAGGGATGGGCCCACTAATTGGTTGTCCAATACAAAGTGACTATCCTGGAAACCATAGACACACAAACAACAACAATAAAAAACAAAACAAACAAACAAAAAACAGACTCCGCAGAATGGGGTTATATATCTATGGATACTTTTATGTAACAATAATAATCCAGGGAGAAGAGGCTATCAATTTGAGACCGAAAAGGAGAATGATGAAGGAGTTGGAGGGAGAGGAACTGAGGGGATTGGAACAGGGAAAGGGAATGGAGGAGGGAACAGGGTGTAATTGTATTTTAGTTAAAAGTGTATAAAAAATAAAATGAACCACGAGTCAAGCTTTCAGAAAAATCTTACTGTCTGACTTTAGTCAACTTAAGTAACTCTCATTCTTCCCCCTTCCTCCTTTCCCTATAACTATGATTCAAGAGAGCACTTTTCAGCACATAACTCACGATCAAGGTCAGTATGTTTCACTGACTTTCACTTTTGTCTGACTCTGATACATTCCTGCAAGCTCTCCTCATCTATGCTCTAAGCCTCTTCAGCATCATATGTAAGAAGACTGTGAACAACCATATTATCAACATCGGCAATGCCTAATGGCCACATACTAAGAGTCAAACAACATGAAAACGTTTTATATGCGCCTTCTGTTCAACTCTCTGTGCATTCCAAAGAAGGCGCTGGATTCGTTTTACGAAGTGGCTGAAGGTTGAAGAAGAAAGGCCACTGGCCTCTAACTCTGTTTCTTGAACACTTACCCTGTTCTAGCTCCGGTCATCATTCATTGCTGCTCAAAGGGGAACCCTTGACACCAAAGGTCAAAGGTGATACTCCTCGCACCTGTCAACCAAACCGCCTGCCTTCTAAAGAATCGTAATGGAGCACTTTTTCTGGCTTCATGATACTGTCGTTCCTTGAACCCCAGTTCTAAAAGCACCGGGAAGTTTCCGAGCGTCTGAGCTTGCCGGTTTGCAGCGAGGAGAAACGAGTGTGGAGATACTGAGTGTCTCCGTCTAGAGTGAAGAGTCCGCTTTCGTAACTGAGGCCGGAACCTTTCTCCACTCGCCGTGGTACACGGGCGGAGAGCGGAACCTTTCTTCTCTGCTCACAGTTCCTGGGCGGAGGCGTGCAAAAATGGAACGTCCCTCCCCGACCCGGTTCTTGCCGGGGTCGCTTGCTGCTGACGTGTGCCGACCGGCTTCTGACTGCGGTGTGGGTCGCTATGGCGGTGGACATCACACTCCTCTTCCGGGCGAGCGTCAAGACGGTGAAGACACGGAACAAGGCTCTGGGAGTAGCGGTGGGTGGCGGGGCCGATGGCAGCCGGGACGAGCTGTTCCGCCGAAGCCCTCGGCCCAAGGGAGACTTCTCCAGCCGGGCTCGCGAAGTGGTAAGCTGGTTGCTATGGAAACGCCGAGCCGGAGATGGGGCAGATCTGCACCCGGGACCCTGAACTCCAAACTCGACCCAGCCTTGTAAGCCCCGAGTGAAGAGAGGGAGTCGGTCTCACGCAGCCGACAGCTGGCTAGGGGCAGCGACAGGTTTATTATAAGGAAAGAGGGACGTGTATCCGAGCACTGTAGCAAGCAAGACTTAGAGATGCTTGGTTATCCATGTAGTAAGAAGTTGATGGCTAAGTTGAGGCAGTGAGTTCGCTGTCACTGCTGACTTGACTGCCAGTGAAAAGTTCCCACAGTCCTTCGCTTCCTGTCGCAACGTTCACCACTCTCTACCTTTGCCCTTTTCATGTATATGTTTGGGCCTCCCCTTGCGCATAGGGTTTAAAATCCACTTTCAGCTGAACTCCCTTTTTATTTGAAACAGTTTAAAAAACTCCATTGGTATGGTGGCACATGCCTTTAATCCCAGCACTTGAGAGTCAGAGGCAGGCAGATCTGGGAGTTCGAGGCCAGCCTGGTCTACAGAGTGAGTTCCGGGGCATCTGGAGCTACACAGAGAAACCTTGTCTCAAAAACAAACAAACAAAACAAAAGCACAACAAAACTCCATTGACTTCATCATATATATCATATATCACATTTCCTATTATCCCTGTATTACATTGAAGGGGGCATGTCTCAGTTTGAAATGAGAGGAAGGGGAAATAAGGTGTCCTCACTCCCTACCCTCAGTCTGGCTAAACTGTTGTGGAGGTTGCTCTCAGTGTGTGGACAGCACAGTTTTGGTATGTGAAGGCCCTTCCTGAAATTGGTGGTTTATTATTAACACTGCACAGATTTTCAGTCCTCAGGAATAGGGGATTTGGAAACAGTAGAGTTAAGAAGCACAGTTCAGCTAGAAGCCCTGTGGGGAGAGAGCTTTGCTATCAGTTGGACTGCACCCCAAGTGCTGAAAATGCATTTTCAATTATTTTCATTTAAAAGCCTTAGGGATGACAATTCTTTGAAGGTTCAGGCAGCCCCAGGGGTAGAAAGAGACTAGCACATCTGAGTTAAAGGGGAAATGTCAGCAATGGCAAACATGTCAAGCCTACGCATATATTCTTACATGCTGCTTCTGTGGTACCACAGAAGCCAGCACTCATTTTCCAATAGATCTTGTAGCTCAGAACCCCTCAATTCTGTGCCCTTAGAGCCATTACCAACTGCTGGGCTTGATGTCAAGTTGCTTGAGGTTCTACCCAGCAACTGGTTAAAAATTGATTGCATATCTAAACAGAACTTAGACTTTTCAGAACAGACTTTTAAAGGGCCTGGAATTCATCTTGTTCAGACTAATCATCTTTATAAGTGGGAAGACAACACTCAGACAAGTGCAGTGAGGGGTCCCAAGTCTTTGCAACTGAGGCCATGTCCTAGAGCTGGAGGTAGAAGCCAACTCTGCTTTGCTAGTTCTGTGGTTTTTCTCCCTCTGGTTTTGTATCTTAAATATCCACCTAAAATTTTAAAAGGTGTGTGTGTGCATGCATGCATGCATGCATGCGCACCATGTATGTGGGGGTGCCCATGGGAGGCCAGAAGAGGATATCAGATCCCCTGGAGCTAGAGTTACAGGTGGTTGTAAGCCAACCTACTTGGATACTTGGACCTGAACTTGAATTGTCTGCAAGAGCTGTAAGCATTCCTAATCACTCAATCATCACTCAACACCACCCCACATAATAATTTTAAACAGAGTTTTTGGACTTTTCAATGTCAAAGTGTTTTTCTTCTTGAGAGTTCATAGTACATGGGACTTGGAGCAGAAGGGCTTGGATTTAAATTTCTTTCTGGCTGAGTGAGGTCAAGAAGTTGCTTAACCTCAATTACCTGTTTTTTTTTTTTTCTAAGAATGATAGCCACTTTAGAAGGTCACTTGATGGATGAAATGATGAATGGTGTGCAAGTGCCTGTGAGAGTCTGAAATCTTTGTTTACAAGTAATAGTAACTTATAAACCACCCAGTGTTTCGGGGATTCTTTCAGCCATTAGTCTTTAATGTAACGGCCCCTTCAGGGCAGGGTCTTAGGTACTACATATGGACTGGGAGAAAGCTCTTACACTCTCTTGGATGGTGGTCAGAAGGTAGATGGCAGCATCCAAGGGCTTTGTCATTTGTGAGTAATTCCCCAATAAATACCCGACTTCTCTTTATCCAGGCTTTCGTGGACTCTATTATAATTTTTCATTACAATCAAAACCAGAATATGTGTGTTGGCTCACGTAACTAATGGCTTGGTGTGTCTTTCTGTAGCTCTCATCCATAAAACCCCAGGGGTGGACCTGTTCCTACTTGGACCCCAAAACCTTTGTTGTGTTCTCAGGAATAAGGTTCTTTAGTTGGCTAGGCCACATGTCCATTGCAGAGTGTGGCCAGTAGGTGACTTGGATATTATGATTAAAGCCCCACCAGAACTTTGGAAGGGGAGTGCTGTGTTCAGGAATGGAAACAAAGGGTGGTGGGCAAATACATATCTAATGGTGCCTGATGCATCTGACATTACTGAGCACATTATTATTCAAGCACATTGTCTATTAGGATAGATGCTTCCAACTTACCTGCATGTCTTGAATGACTTTGAGAATGGGCTGGGCCTGGAGATGCTGTGTGATTGCAGCGCTTCTTCCTTGTTAACTTAATAGAGGTTATAGACACCAAGGTAGCCACTACACAGTACCCAGAAGCTGCATATCCAGAGCAGCAGGAGCTCCTGAGTAGCACAGAACTGGAAGCTAGGAAAACTCAGTTAACACTAGATCTGCCAGGAAGTCACTTCAACCTCTCAGGCCAAGTTACCACATTAACAAAACTGAGAGCTTAGACTAGATAATCATAGGCACTTCTGATAAATCATAGATGTTTTAATTCCACATAAGGTTAATAGTGATTCTGAGTTGTTGAGAACCCCACCCAAGATTAGGCAAACAATAAAGTTTTGGTTTTTTTATTATATCTTGATTTTGTGAAAGTTAAATTTTATTTGTTGGTTTATTATTCATCTATCCATCCTTAAGAATTCATTAGCTTCAGGGTTTGGCTGAAATCCAAAGTTCTTTTATTTGTTTTTGTTTTTGTTTTTTGTTTTTCGAGACAGGGTTTCACTGTGGCTTTGGAGCCTATCCTGGCACTCCCTCTGTAGACCAGACTGGCCTGGAACTCACAGAGATCCGCCTGCCTCTGCCTCCCGAGTGCTGGGATTAAAGGTGTGCACCACCAACGCCTGGCCCAAAGTTCTTTTAAAAATATTTATTTTACTAAGTGTGTGTGTGTGTGTGTGTGTGTGTGTGTGTGTGTGTGTGTATGCACACCTATGGAGACCAAAGTGGATGTCAGATCCTCAAGACTGGAATTACAGGTGGTTGTTAGATGCCTGGTGTGGGTGCTGGGAACCAAAGTCAAGTCCTCTGAAAGAACAGCAAGTGTTTTTAACTGCCAAGCCATCTCTGTACCCCCCTAAAGTTCTTAGAGTGTCCCCAAACAAGGAGATTTGGCCTCATCATCTCTCTGTCCTCACTTCTCACATGCTCCCCTTGCATTCTTCTGCTGCCATCGTGTCATCTTTGCTTATCATCTTTGCTGTTCTCTCAGGCGCCTTCCTACCTCAGGGTCTGCATCTGTTGTTTCCTTTACATGGAACACTACTCCCAGAATCCACACAGATTGCTCTCTGTTAACTTCAAGTGGCTCAGATATTTACTAAATGAAGCCTTCCTGGACCTCTTTGTATAAAGTGGCATCCTTTTTCTCTTCCTTGTAATGTGTTGTTTTCATTGCTAACAGATTGTGTATAGTTTTTAGTTTATATGACTTGGGCTCCCTAGAAAAGAAAACTGGTCTGTACTGAATCCATAGCTTCTAGAACAGTGCAGGAATATAGGTTTGCAGTGCATATCTCTTGAATTAATAAGTACTAATTGACTGTATCTCTTGGCTTTCACTTTTGGGGCTATCCAAGCATCCTTCTAGTTCTAAAAATGTGCAGCCCAAATAGGTCTCTTGACTATTTCAGATGTAGATTTATACTGAGCCCAGCATCTGTTATAAATAGTAGCTTTAGTTTTATTAATGAGGTTCAGGCCTTCTCTTAAGGAGAAGCAGACACAGCCTAGTTTGGGGGTGACTGACAAGTGTAACTCTCCATCATCAATTCCTCAGTCCTCTTTGATTTCCCTCTGAGAGGCCCCAATATTAGAGCCCAGTAATTGAGCCGGAACCACCTGGATTGTTATCTGGAGGGGCTGGAAATAGATTTTACCCAGAAGTTGGCTGTAATTCTAGTTCAACAGGGATTTCAGTGAGGGAACACATTTTGGAAGCAGCAGGTGCAAAGAGCCAGAGAGAAGCAGAGGCAGGAGATGGGGCCAGGCTCTGGGAGCAGAGAGGAAAACTGTGCAACTTATGTGACAGCTAGAAGCAGAACAGGGGTGTGTTGAATCCTTTCCTTGCAGAAACCTTTTTGCAAAATGAAGTAAAGGGTGGCTTTGAGGAAAGCTGGGATGGGCAGGGACACAGGAAAGAGACAGTCATTAGCCAGCCTTCTCTTCTGCCTTCCCCTCTTCTCCCTCAGGAACCAACTAAAAGGTCCAGAAACCCACTAACTGGCCTTTTAATTTCACAATGTTGTATCTTTGTGGTTTATAACAATTGATGTTTCCTGTGTGTATAACTCAGTGCCAGAGACTATTCTTATGAAGTCAGTTGTGAGCTCTTTCTGTGGGTTGTCCTTCTGGATTTTGCCTAGGACTTAGGAGGACTACAACTTTTGAAGTTTTGTTTTTCAGTAATTGGTTTATTCCATTACCTGATTGAATATCTGATGTGTATCAGGCATTGTGTGGGCAGAGAGAACTTTGAAAATACAGATAAAGGACACCTAAGTCTCCTGGGGAGAATTAATGGAAACCTCAGATAGAAAGCAGTAATTTAATTGGACCATCAGGGTTCAGAACC